CGCAGGGAGGTTTCTACCCACATGGCTCCCCAGGCAGCCTTTGGCACCCCGGGGTCACCAATGGGTCTTTCCCATCCAGAAATACGGGGCTGATTTGTCCAGGCTGACCTCTGGGGCCCCTGCCAGCATTCCTCCACTCCATTCCTCCACCCACTATCCCCGAGTGCCTCTTAGGATGCACAGGCTCTGTCTGCTCCAGGTCGTGGCCGTGGGCAAACCCAACACCATGGCCCTCAGTCTTGGGAGGTTTTTGTCTCTAAGCCTGAAAGTGCCAGCTCTCCTCCTGCCTAGGATCCTCCTCTTCTATCAGTGAGGCTTGGCCCTCACTTCTCTCTTTATTCCAGTCTCTCTGGAACATTCTCCTCTCCTGCTATTTGGATACCAATGACCAACTTGTAACTTTTCTCCAGCTGACCACCCACCTAAGAAACAGATCCCATGTCCAAGTGTGTCTTGTACATCTCTGGTGGTGTCATACCAAACCTCCATTCCTGCACGGCACAGGCCGTCAGCGCCTCCCATACCAGCTCCTCCTCCAAGCCAGCAACCTAGAAACAACTTTTAAACCCTACTCTCTTGTCCTCACACTGACCTGATGATCAAATCCTGCCCATCCTTCCTACTCAGTGTTTGTTTTTCTACCCCTATTGCAAGAGCAGCCTTCTCACAGTTTCCCAGGCTCTAGTCTCACATGTTCGGATCCATCCCATACCTCATTTCCCTAAAATGCAAATCTGATTACTTCTGTCCTCTTTAATGGGTCCCCACTGTCCTCATTCTAAAGTCCACACTCCCTAGCTTGCCCTAGATGGTAGTGCACACATGCCCACTCTTTTTTTAAAAAAATGTTATTATTGATTTTAGAGAGGGAGAGAGAGAGATGGAAACATCAATGATAAGCATCACTGATTGGCTGCCTCCTACTGGGGTTCGAGCCCACAACCTGGGCATGTGCCCTAACTGGGAATGGAACCAGGACCTCCTGGTTCATAGGTCGACGCTCAACCACTGAACCACACCGGCCAGGCCCACATGCCCATTCTGACTGTCCCATGCCATACTGGTGGCTGGATATTTTATAGATGAAAGCTACCCACAAGGCCCTGGGTGGCCAGGCTCTGGCTTACCCGTGGCCCTCCCAAGCTTTTCTCTCCTCCCATTTACTCAAGTCACACACCCGACTTTCTCTCCTCTGGGCATTTTATTGCCCTCTCTGCAGCTCATCCCCACCCTGTTGTTTCTGGAGAACACCTCCTGTGTCCTGATCTTAGAGCCCTAGTTCTGTCAGTAACTCACTATGTGATCAGTCAGGACATCACTTCATCCAGTAGTTCTCAACTTTGGCTGCACATTAGAATCAGTTGGGGAGCTTTAAACATTCGATGCCCAGGGGAGTGGGGGTGGCTGGGGAGAGGTCAATGGGGGAAAAAGGAGACTTATGTAATATTTTAAACAATAAAGAATTTAAATTAAAAAAGAGAGGAAAAAAAATTCGATGCCCAAACAGAAGCCCAGACCAATGAGGTCAGCTTCTGGGAGTGTCCAGGGGACCCCAATGTGCCCTCCACCTCCTTCTATAATGGTACAGTCTTCCCGTCTGTAAGGATTCCCAAATGGAGCCCGCTCCAAGGCACATACCTTGGCAAGGGCTGTTCAGAGCACTTAGCAAAGCAGGGCTGTGGCTGTACCAAGCAGGGCCCTCAGTTCCCATTCCAGACGAGCTGAGAAAAGTCCCTTCATGACTCAGCAGGCCAGGCCTTCCTGTGACCTGCTCCTCAGCATGGGGCGTAGCTCTGCAGCCACCCTCCCTCTTTTGGGGAGGCCTCGCTCTGACTCCCGACACCGCCTCGTTCTTCCAACAGGCCCCCGAGCCTTAGGAGCTACCTACTCTCACTTTCTAGTCTGAACAACGAGTGCACTCTCATTCCGTCCTCCCCCGGAAGGTACAGCGTTTTGAACTCACAAGGAGCTTAGTCAGGAAGGGGTCGTGTAAACAAGAGTTTGGCTTCTGACTCCACCGTTCACAAGCTCCATGACCTTGAGACCATTGGTCATTGCATCCACCCTCATCTGCCAGGGCCTGTTTTCAGGTTCATAAAGTGGGAATCACCCAACCTCAGAAGCATACGCAAAGGGCCTGGTGTAGAGGAGGGACGCAATACCGCCCCCTCTCCTGACGGCGTTCCTCTTCTCTCCTCCCTAAAGCGCGTGGGCTGGGCTGGAGGTGATCACCAGGGTCCCTCCTAGTCTTGACATTCGAGTGAACAAGTAGGGACAGAGCTGGGATGTGTTGGGGGGAGGAGGAAGTAAGCGCAGGCCTTCAGCCCCTGCAGTTCCCTAGGGCAAGACGCCATTTGTGTTTTGACTGGCACAGGGCCTCCAGGGAGAGGAGGCAGTTTCAGAACGAGATGCCTTATAAGGAGTGTGCTGTGTGTGGATGGGTGTGGGCACAGGCTCAGGGACCGTCGGGCCAGGAGGGCTCCACGGCAGACTGGAGCTGGACACCAGCTCCATCCCTGACTAGCTGGGTGATGCCAGACAGGTTCCTTCTCTCTGGCTACTCTCTCCATCTGCAGGATGGGCATGATGGATGCTGCCCGCCTGCCTTTGGGGCTGCAGGTGAGCAGCAAGTGAGATAAGCACCATGAGAGCCCTCTCTAGCCCCAGGTGCCACACACATGCGGCATCATTATACCAGGGATTGCTCTGATTATTACAAATGTCTGTTGTATAGGAGGTTGCTCAAGGTGACCTATTAAGACCCCATGTTTCTATGGGCCCCAAGAATTTAAGGCCAATGATAGGAATCTCTGACCTGTTCGGGGCCAGAAAACAGGATACTGAGGCAGATGGTGAGTTGACATAAATGGGGAGGCAGGGTGAGTGGGTGAGAGGGTGTGCAGTGCAAGCTGGTGTTGATAAGCCAAGGAAAGCGGACCACTCACCTTCTGGGGGGCATTGATAACGCCAGTGTTGTAGCCGAACTGCAGGGAGCCAAGCACTGCCCCTCCCACGGCCAACATAAGAGTGCCGGTCAGCTTCTGCAGAGAGAAAAACACACTGTTACAGGCAGCTCTGGGGCCGGGTTACTACAGGGCAGAGCCTGGGCTGGCAGGTTCTCCTATTCAGGTATCTTGCCTGACTCCTGGCACTCCACCAGTCTTTCTCCCAGGAAACTTGGCCACTTTTTGACTTCAGGTGCCCTAACCAGCCCTCCCGACTTCTAGACACCAGGCTGGCCAGACTCCTTCTGGGGCGGAGGGGATATCTGGGTCCTCTCTCTCTCTCTCTCTCTCTCTCTCTCTCTGCAGCTAGGTTTTGGCTAAAGATGGACAGGCCTTGGCTTCTCTGGGGTGTCATTCTCTGGGTGGAGCCATGCCGGGGTGCAGGTGGCCCCAGACTGATTGGGAGGCCCAGGAACCAATGCCCCTATGAAAAGGGGACCAAATTACCTGGGAGAAACTACATAGATGGGTGGGGGAGAGGGGAGCCTTGGATTTGGACCCAAAGGGGCTGGCTTCTGATTCAAGCCCACCTGCCTGCCTACTTGCTCTGTGAATTCCAGCACGCTAAGTGAGTCTTCCCCACTCCTCCCAGAACCTCTGTTTGTTGCTCTGCAAAATGGGGACACTTCAGGCTGATCAGCATTGGAAATGTGGTCCCATCTTCCCCTCCCTCCATTCACAGCGGGAAATGGAGCCCCAGGAGGCAGAGATGCGTTCCAGGAGAGAAGCGTTCCAGCTCGCTCAGGGGCGAGCAGAGAGCCAGGCTGGCGCTCAGGGTTCCATGGTTCCCCACCTAGTGTCCCTCATGGTAGCCATCCCCAGACCTTGAGCCTCTCCGGGTTATTTGGACACAGATGACATACCGCTCAGGAATGTGCTTTGGAAAAGTACGTGACACGAGGCAAGTCAAAGCGTGGGGCCAAGTGTTTTCAATGGGCAAAGGGGAGAAAAATGATGGTGGGTTTCTGCCCCCGGGAAGCTGGGGGCCTGAGAGCAGCAGGCAGGTGGGCCCTGGGTGACAAGGCACCTTGCTAGAGAGACGGTGCTTTGCTTGCAAGAGCCCCTCTTGTTAAGAGAGGGACTTTTGTTAAAAGAGGGACTCTTTTTTTCTTTTAAAACGAAGAAGTCAAGAAATGTGACATCAGGCAGGCCCTTAACTGGTAGTGAGAGAACGGAGCCACGGGAGGGACAGCAAAGAACAACTGTGGGCACCACACGGGCTGGGTCCTGGAGGAGGGGCTGGAAGCTCACAACCCTGCCCACGCCTGTGGAGGGGAGGCTCTCAGCTCAGTCATGCCTTGCTATGGGCCTCGGTTTCCCCAAAGAACCCAGATGCAGCCCTCACAGATAGCACTGGGCTTAGCTGTTCATCAGACATGTTCCTCGTGTGGTCTTTTCATTCTCTGCCATCAGGCCAACGACTGAGAAAGCCAAGGTTTTCACAACAGAGGCTGAGAAAGAGGAAGGGGGCTTCTGTTAGCCCGAGCGCACAAGCTCAGAGTCCATTCTTCACCAGGTGAGCACTGGCCCCTTCCTTCCCCCCAGCACACCTGGCTCCTTCCTGGCCAAACTCCGGACATTCATCCTGGATGCTGGGGCTTTCTTCATGGCAGGCTGCACTCCCTTTAAACCCTGTCCTTCCCTGCCCAGCTCACCCCAACCCCAAACTCAGCATGCCCCAGGGCCTCCTGAGTTCCCTTCTCTCAACTCCCGAGGAAGCCTGCAGATCCTGCAGATCCGGGCTGTCAGTTCTGAGTGGTTGGGGAGTACCTGACAGCCCTCCTCTGGTGGGCTCCGGCCCAGCCCAATTGATAGGCTGACCGCTGGGATTGAGTAAGAGGATGCCAAAGGGCACTGAGCATTGACCGAGGTAGGCCTAACCCAGGGGTGGGCAAACTTTTTGACTCGAGGGCCACAATGGGTTCTTCAACTGGACCGGAGGGAGGGCCGGAACAAAAGCATGGATGGAGTGTTTGTGTGAACCAATATAAATTCAAAGTAAACATCATTACATAAAAGGGTACGGTCTTTTTTTTCAATAGTTTTATTCATTTCAAACGGGCTGGATCCGGCCCACGGGCCGTAGTTTGCCCACGGCTGGCCTAAACAGTGGCTGTTGAATGTTACCATGTGAGAGTGTCCTGTCTGGTGAGTCACGTGTGTTAGCTTGGGGGCTGTCCACTGTGTTGTCCAGAGTGTGACAAAAATGAGAGAGGCTTCCAGTCCAGTGCACAGGCGAGTGTGGTCTGAGCTTCAACCCGTCGGTGGGAGAAGGCACTGTGGGAGTCCTGGACAGAGAGACTTGTAATTTTGCCTGGGAACCATCAAAGATGGGTTCTCAGGAGGCGACACTGGACTTGGGCCGTGAAGGACATGTAGGGAGTCTGCCAAGCAGGGAAGGTGGTGGCAAGACTGCATTCCAGGGAGACAGAACAGTATGTGCAGGGGGAAGAGGAGGCCCCGTATGGGGCCCCAGATTAAACAGGAGGTGCTCAGTGTGGCTGGATGCTAGGTGCCCATGCTCTGTGGTAGGCACCCATCACACATTCACACTCCCGCCTCCCTGCACCCACCAAACCCAGCTTGATCACTGCTCGACTTGGGGTCAGGAGACCCAGGCTGAAGAGCAGGGAGCTGCTTCCCCTCACCCTGGAGTTGGGATATGTGGTGGCCCTGGCTCTGGGCTTCGGTTTCTTCACATGGGAAATGGGGACAAGACTTCCTCCCCTTCAGGGTTGCTGTCCAGGTCTGAATCAGTGCCCATCACAGAGCTCGCAGGGTTCACCTGGCAAGCGTTTTCTGAATCAGGGAAGGATGGGAAGCACCCTCGGCTGGGCCGCCATAGCACCATCTGCCCCCACCTTCCCTGTGGCTGGAACGGAAACGTGGTGATGAAATCCATTTATTCAACATGTATTTATTTTTTTGGTGTCAAGCTGATGGACAAGTTGGTGATGCCTTAGGAAAGGGGTACAAACCCCACAGCTTGCAGTTTTCTTATGAAGCCTTTTTCAGGGGTGCAGGTGTAATGTGGAGCCCAGAACCTGAGACCTCCTGGGGATGGGGCTGCCTTCTGGAACATCCACATCTTCCAGGCCTTTGCCCTTGCTGTGTCTGCTACCGTCTCCAGCTTTTGCTCCAAGCAGTTGGGATACTGACCTTTATTTACCCACTAGGCTGGGAACTCATTACCACGGGCCTGGAGTGCGCTGGGGAGGACACAGCACAGAACCTTTGTAAAAGGCCCACCACTTCTGAATTTAGCTTTTGGGCAAACTTGGCTCTGTGTGTATCTGTTCTGCCAGAACGGTGTTCATCCTCACAGAATTTAACTTGGCCATTTATCAGTCCTCTGATGCGTACTGAAAGCTCCGCTCTGAGACGTGGAAACAGGCCAACAGTAACTGCCTACCCCAACCCACAGGGCTGGAGAGGGAAGACCACCAAACCGAGTTTAACCCTGACACCCCTAGAGTGCCACAGACACTCCAGTTCAGCAAAGGCCCGGGCTCAGGATCCCACACAGAGGGGGATCTCACACCCCACCCCTCGTCACCTCTATACTAATCCTGGGGGTCCAGAGCCTCGCTGAGAGCTCTCCCAGCCCCAGGAGCCAGTGGGGAGGTGTCAGCACCTGGGACCTCTCCTCCCACACACACACCGAGATGATGATGGCTCTGGCCAGGGAGCACTGCGAGCAGCGTAGCCTTCTGACTTGCTATGTGCCCTTCCTCGGGCTTGGCCTTCAGCAGAACCTTGGTCGATAGCGGCAGAGGGCGGGCACGTGGCTACTGCCATGTGGAGTCAGGATGTTCTCCCATCCCCTCTCTCACATGGCTTCCCCAGGTGCACTGGAGCGTGGGACACAGCCTTTGTAACTGGTTGGCCCCCAGTTCTAAAGAGGCGGGGGGGGGGGGGGGGCTTACTGGATCCATGATAGCTCCCTTTGTATTTATTTCCTGTACATTTATTTTTTAAGATGTCATGTGAACAAAATTCTGGGCATTAAAAAAAAAAAGCCCAACGCCATGGCTGCATGACTCAGCTGGTTCGAGCATCATCCCGTATACCAAAAGGTTGTGGGCTTGATTCTCTGTCAGGGCATATACATACCTAGGTTGCCAGTTCACTCCCAGGTCGGGGCATGTACAGGAGACAACAGATTGGTGTTTCTCTCTCTCTCCCTCTCTCTAAGGTCAATGAACATACCCTCAGGTGAGGACTTAAAAAAAAAAAAAGGCCCAAGAAATTGCATACTGGCTTTAAAACCCTGTGTGATAAATGGGAGCAGGTCAGAGGCAGGGGCCCCGGCCACGCAGCAAACAAAAACGGGTGCTGGGACTGGAGTTCTTTGGATTCCTGTGCTGGCGTTTTGCCCTCTCTGACCTTTTCCTCCTAAAAGCTGAGCAATGGGTTGTATTGCTCCAATGCCTGACCTTCAGGGGACCTCAAGCATTTGCTCCCTTTGAAGTCATTTCCTTCAACCCTTCCAGTGATGTCAGGACTTGCCTGGCTGAGCCTCCCTGCACCTCATGGTGGCCCTGGAGGCAGAAGGGACTGATCAATCTTTTGTGTGTGGGGAGCGGTACTCATAAATCTTTAAGGCAGAGGAGGAGGGAGCTGCTGAATTTAGCAGCACCCGCAGCACCCGCAGCACCCGCAGCACCCGCAGCACCAGCAGCACCCGCAGCACCCGCAACCCGCAGCACCCCCAGCACCTGTAAGGGGCTAGGCACATACCAGGGCTGCTTCCACGTCCCAATCTGACCACTATGAACACACTCTGGGAGAGATTGTTCCTGCTTTCACAGATGAGAAACTGGGAGGCTCGGAGAGAAAAATGGGTACTGATACATCCCTCGGCTTCTGTGAAATTTCAAGCTGGGAGGGGTCTCTGATGCCAAACTCTGCCCTTCCTGCTCATGTCCTCCCCGCTTCGCTTCCGGGTACTGGTCCCTGAAGGAAACAAGGTTTCTACCTGGTGCTTTCTATGTAGGTCAGATTCCCTTCCAGCAACTCTGGGCCTTGCCCATTCTGAGTCAGAACAGCCCAGGCCCAAGCCCCTGGCGACTTGGGTGGATTCTGCTCCAAGGTCGGCAACAGTAGCCTGTGGGCCACATCCAGCCTGCTGGCTAAGAATGGGTCTTACATTTTTTTTAATTAGCTGGGAAAAAAGGACTAATATTCTGTGATACATGAAAATTACATTAAATTCAAATTTCAGTGAGCATTAATATAGTTTGATTGAAACACAGCCACACTCATTGGTCTATGTATTGTTTATGGCTGTTTTTGTGCGACGATGACAGGGATGAGTGATTGTGGCCGATGGTCACAGAGCTGATGCTATTTACTTCCTTTTTTTTTTTTGGAGGGCTCTTTACAGAAAAAGTTTGCCAATTTCTCCTTTAAGCCCCCAGGTCCCCTGAACTGCTATGTACAAACTCAATATGTAAACTGCACAGGATTCTCAAAGCCTTTCAGGCAAAACCAAATCATTCTCCCTAAATAAATAAATGCAAACAACTAACTCCCTGGGCTGTGTGTGTGGGCCCTGGGTCAGGACCTGGACATCTGGAGAAGCTGCCACCCTGGAGGAGATACCCTTTCATTGGTGAGATGGGTACCAATTCAACTCTGATCAATTGAATATGATAAGACCATGGGAATAGGCAAAGGTCCATGACACTCTCAGCAAACAAATACAAGTCCCAGCTTCTCCGCTTGTGTGACCTTGAAAATACCCTTTCCCCTAAGACCTCCAGTTCTCAATCAGAGAGGTTTTCTACAAAAAATAAATTACATTACTAAAGAAAGGATAATGCTTGAAGGCATATTCCCAACACTATTCTAGTCAATGGGGAATTCAGCAATATACACCAAATTCCTGCCTTTCTGGAACTTGATATTTTAGTTGAGGGCGAGGACCGAAAATAAATACCTAAGATACATCAGGTGATGAGTGGTGTGAAGAAAAAGCGATGGGGGTGCTATGTTGTAAACATGGGACACGCCTGTAATGGAATACCATGCAGCTGTTGGAAAGAATGCAACACATCTGTACGTACTTGATCTGGATAGAGCCCCAGGGTAGATTTTTCAGGGAAAAAAGCAAAGTACAAAACAACGAATAGAATGTACATTTTGTGTAGAGAAGGGGAAGATAATTAGCTTGTACAATGGTACTTGCTTATACACGCAGAGAAATACTGCAAAAATTTACTTCTAAGGGGTGGCGGGCCACGCAGGACTGCACAGAAGTAGGTAGAAAGTGTGATCCAAATACATAAAAATTACACTTACAGGCACACATATACACATGCACAAAACGAGGTCTGTGAGGGTAAACAGCAAACTATTACAACTGGGGGAAGACATTTACTCTTTCACTTTGCATATTTCTCCACAGATGCCTCCAATACTTCTATCATTAAAAAAAAATAATCCACAACCGGACCCAGAGAGGTATGTGCTGTTTTCCTACTGCAGGTGAAGAAGTGAGTTCTGTGGCTGCCTGAGGCCGGATGGTGGAGCTGTTGCTGAGGGGGCCTTTTCCTCCCCACTCCCAACTGTCAAGATGGTGGAGCCAGCTCCGGGCTACGTGATATGGACAGATGTCCTGTCCAGCAGAGGCCTCCGTAGCCAAATGCTCCATTAAACTGGGATCTGGCAAAGCTCTCTCCCCCGCCACTTCCAGGGTGCCGGGGCCCTTGGCTGGCAGAAGCCAGAAAGGTGGTCTTGGAGAGGATGAATACTGCCTTCGTTCTGCCCAAATTCAAGACCGTGGAGCCCTGCTTAGTTACTGTCAAACCCCAGCATGTATGCGTTAGCTACTGCTTCCCTGGCCTGGTGGCTGGATGGCAGAGCCTCCAGCTCTATTCCACCCCTCCCACGGAGGGAGGTAACAATGGAGGTTTGTTTTGGTGGCCAGGCCGGGGCCTGTGGGCCTGGACACAGCCTCTCTGAGCCCATGAGGTGCCTTCTCAGCCTCTACGATCCTGGGACACCGGTTACCAAACTGAGTGGCTTTTTCACCTTTCTGCCCAGGAGTGACATGGGGGAAGGGCTGCAGGTCCCAAGCCAGCGCTGCACACACTTTCCCCTTTGTTCCAAGCCTCCCCACTTCTGCCAGCCTGGGGGAGGGGAGCTGGATGCCTGTACCCTGGGAGCCAGAGCTGAACTCTAGGCCGCGACACCCCGTGACCAGGAGGCACTGGGTAAAGCTGAGCTCCCTGAAGTCACAAGCTGATTACGGGGGATTTGGGGCTGACCCAGCTCCGGGGCAAGTGGGGTCGGGTCCCTGAATGGCTCAGCCAGGGACAAGGATCATCATGGAGATGTTTACAATGCCTGCACACCCAAACAGGCCGTACAAAGGGCGTTTCCACTTAAAATAGCCACCGCTCTGATTTAGGGCTCCTGGCCTGTCTCACCACATCCACCACAGGGGAGCGAACCTCCATTTTACAGGCAAGAAACCAAAGGTCGGAGGAAAGCCACTTCCCCAAGGTCATAGTTTTGTGAGGACACATTTTGTTCCAACTCACAGAAGGGTTTCAGTTGTCAAGTTATGCCTAATCCAACTCTGAGACTCCTACTACTGAGCCCAGAAAGAGCTTGGCAAGTCCCCGGAGTCTGGGAATTCCTACTCATTTGGGGTGAGTGCAGGATGGCACAGAGGACAGGGATGTGGAGAAGAAAGCATCTTTTTTTTTTTCATACTATAGAACATCGCAACTATTTTGTGAAAGCCTTATCTTGGTCACGTCTCTTTCCTTCCCTGGCCTCAGTTTCCTCATCGGGCAAACGGAAGGCTGGGCCTCGTACTGGAAGGTCCCTTGTTGCTCTGACTTTGCTTTACCCCCTTATGTCATCCGAGGAAGGCTGGCGGTGTGTTCTGAGGTAGGAGGCTCCGTGTGTGACCTTGGGAAAGTCGTTTCTCATTGGATTGTGATTCATTTCGCCCTCACAGGGGAGGCAGGGCAGCCACATTAGCTGACTCATCTCTCACCCATGGGCTGGCTACCTCTACAAACCAACTTCCTGACAAATCCCGACTGGAGAAGAACTGGAATCTTAACGATTCCTTGATCAAGTGGTACTCACGGCCCAGATATCCTGGGTTCCCCCAAAGTACACACTGCCAGAATGCCAGACTTCTGGACAGAGGCCACAACTCGGGTACAGGAAACCTGAGGCCCAGGTAAGAGCAATGCATCACGGGAGCCTAAAGAGGCCGGGAAGATTTACGGAACAGCTACGAGGGCACACACATTTTTTTCCCCTCTGAATTCTTACAGATATTCTAATGATGAAAATAACATTATTATGCAGATCAGGCAACTGAGCTAAGCTGCACAAAACCACCTTTGCAGGACTTCTGAAAAGCATTTACTAGCCAAGTGCCTAGCAAACTGTAAGAACGTTCTATCTCCATGCAGAATATTTATTCACTTATCCACTCAACAAATAAACACCCAGGTCCTACGTCACATGCTGAACAGATAGTTCTTACCCTTGAGGAAGTAAAAAGTTATGTCTTACACGCCGAGAAACGGAGGCCCAGAGAGGTTAAGGGGCCTACCAGAGTCCTGAGATAACACAGCAAGTATGTGGACTGTGTGGTCTCAAGCCCTCACCACTAGCGCTTCTCATTTGATTATTAGTATGTTATATCCCAGCATAATGGCTAACCTATGACTGTCAGAATTCGCGTTCCCCAGGGCGGGGTGAAGCAAGCAGTCAGGATTCAACAGGTATGAAGGAGCCGTTTCCCGCGGAGGGTATGTCAGGCGCCACTCTGACCAGCCAGACCCCGTTCCGTCCCGCCACACTCCTCTACAGCCCACAGGCAGGGGCGGTGCACAGTTCAGCCTTACCCAGGTTTAAAAAAAAAAAAAAAAAAAGCGCATCCTCGCGCCTCCCTGCCCAGAAGATGGGAACATTCAAGCGGATAAGAGGGAAAGTTTCCAAGAAAAAAGTGACTTGAAAAATGTGTCCTGCGCACGGGAGGGCCTTCATCAATACACGTTCTGGGCAGGACAAGCAACTCTTCTTTCCCCTGTAAACGGCTTCCTACCCAGAACATGTATTGATGGAGCCCCTCCCATGTGCAGGACACATTTTCCAAGTCACTTTTTTCTTGGAAACTTTCCCTCTTATCCGCTTCAATGTTCTCATCTCTTCAGAGTAGGAAGCCTCCCGTTCCTCAGTCCCCTTCCTCGGGCTCCATTTCAGCCTGCGGTCCCTCCCGCTCCCCAGTTCCCCGGGGACACGCGGCGGCGGCGGCCCCCGTGGGGCTCTCCCCAGCCCCGCCCCGGAGAGAAACGTGCCACTTCGGACCCCATGAAGCCTTGGGGCCTGCGCTACTGGAAAAGAGGGCCTCGGCGGCCAGCTTCTTGCCCTCTACGCCTGGAAAGAACCGGGCAT